CACACAGGAGACAAACCATTTCCTTGTGATCTTTGTGGACAAAGATTCAGCCAGAAGACGAGTTTAAACTCACACATGACAGTCCACACAGGAGACAAACCATTTCCTTGTGATCTTTGTGGGCGAAGATTCAGCCAGAAGACAAGTTTGAACTTTCACATGACAGTCCACACAGGAGAAAAACCGTTTCCTTGTAATCTTTGTGGACAAAGATTTGTTCGTAAGACCAAGTTAAATTTACACATGAGAGTCCACACAGGAGACAAACCATATCCTTGTGATCTTTGTGGACGAAGATTCAGCCTAAAGGCCAGTTTAAACAAACACATGACAGTCCACACAGGAGATAAACCGTTTCCTTGTGATCTTTGTGGACAAAGATTTAGTCGCAAGACAAGTTTAAACACACACACGAGAGTCCACACAGGAGACAAAAAGTTTCTTTGTGATCTTTGTGGACAAATATTTAGTCATAAGACAACTTTAAATTCACACATGAGAGTTCACACAGGAGACAAACCATTTCCTTGCGATCTTTGTGGGCAAAGATTTAGGCAGAAGACAAGTTTGAACACACACATGAGAGTCCACACAGGAGACAAACCGTTTCCTTGTGATGTTTGTGGGCAAAGATTTAGTCACAGGACAAGTTTGAACTCACACATGAGAGTCCACACAGGAGAAAAACCATTTCCTTGTGATCTCTGTGGACAAAGATTTAGTCATAATACAAGTTTAAACAGTCACATGAGAGTCCATACAGGAGTGAAAACTTTCAAACTGTAAATATTAATATAACTATTATAAGCCATGAGATGCAATTGGTATTTTATCACCCAATTAAAATTTGTTTTGATTTTGTAAGATATTCTGTGACAGTTTTCAACATGTTCCCAAACTATGATTTGTTCTTAGTTTCTTAAAAAATACTTTAAAAATAAACAAATTAAACCTTAGATCATGATTTGGACTAAAGATGTTTGTTCTAAATCACTGACTGTTTCAGTGCCTGTGCAATATGTGTAGAGAACCAACCAACCAATCAAATACCTTGTGTTTTCAAACAGTTGTTCTTGTAATTCCTGAGGGAATTGTGATTTAATTAATTAGTTAAGTGGTTAATGTAACAAGTCTCTCATACAAATGAACTAATTGTGTTTTAATAAGATTAATCTGTATAGTTTTTTTTTTTTTTTACTATAATGTCATTCCTGTAAGCCAGGGGTGTCAAACTCACTACAAAAGGGGGCCGAAATAAAAATATTTTTCAAACTTAAGGCCAATTTCAGAAACTACATTAACTCAAATCAGATACTCAACATCTTTTCTTGGTTGCAGGTTCCTCAACAAGCGTTTGATTGGTCTCATTTAAGACCAGTTTGTCACTGTTGTACTTTCGATATCATAATCAAAGATTGCTGAAGAAAAAAAATTCAAGTGATAAAAGTCTTTTACATTTAACATATCTTTGGGGCTAGGCAAGATGCCACTGAGGGCCACATTTGGCCCCTGGGCCTTGAGTTTGACACGTGTGCTGTAAGGTAACTAATGTTGACATTACATCATAATGTCATAATATGGCTGAAACAATGTCAGAATTGCCCAGGTTAAACTTCAACTTTACTGCTGTATTAGGATTCTTTTGTACATGAAGCTAAAACTACCAGACACCATCCTGCACCTAACTCAAGTGGAGTTTGTTTGCTCCCATTGAGTTGCCACAAACTAAGAAACCCAGTACAGGATTTGTCCCATGACCTATTAAAAACACACAAGAGGTCACACAGAACTAAAGTGTTCAGTTCTCATGTTTGTTGTTAAATAGTCTGTGAGGTGTGGAGGTTTGTGGTCCGTTACCACAGTTACTGTCCACATCTGTAGGTTGTGTATTCTGAATGTTGTTTAGGCTTTTGTCAGGGGAAACATGTATGTACAGTATGTGTGATACAGTAGTCCCTCGCTACTTGGTGGTTCGTTTACTGCAGACCCGCTCTGTTGTGGTTTTTCAAAATAAGATTGGACATGACACACTGGCTGATTGATGGATGAGCCACACGATTGACATGGAATCTTTATTTAAAATAAATTATTTTAAAATATTTAGCACCTGCTGCACCTTTGCGCAGCCCAGAGCTGCAGAAAAAGCTTCCTCCTGCATCTTTGTGCAGCTCTTACTGCAGCATAAACTTCCTGCTCCAGCTGATCAGCTGTTCTGCGTGCAGCGCTGAGAAGTGGACGTGGCCAAGAGCGCTTGCAGGTGGCAAAGAGCAGACAAGGTAGGGAGCTGAAATCATGACATTCTGTGCTTTTTTTAGAGCTTTAGCGTTTAGAAACGTTGTTTAAAATATCACAAGTGTGGGACGGGTTTAAAATGCCTTAATATATATAAATATAAATGCTAAAATAAACAATTACTACTTGTACTACTACTCCCACTTTGCGGTTTTTCACTTATCGCGGGGCTTCAAGGTACAGATCCCCCACGATAAACGAGTGACTACTGTACTTCATGATATAATGATCATTATGCGTGAGCCATCTTATTATGTGTCATTTGATCTGAATGGTATGTTATTATAATGCTTTGCTATCACTGTGGAATGATGGTGCCAGTAACTGCTGGCTAGACGCTTATCACGCCCCTCCTCCACCATAAGGAACCTTGAGGATGTTTTCTTAATGAGACTGTTCTTTTTAGTAGCCGCCTGGGTTTGGTTGTGTAAATGCTAGGACAAGACTAGGATCAGAACCAAGGTAGAGCAAGCGTTGGGAGTTTTGTGTACTTGTAATGCATTGACTTTCTGTATTCTGTCTGTTCCTCAAAAGCTTTGTGTTATTAGATCTGATAGGGCTGGATGATATGGCAAAAACTTTTATCACAATATATTTCTTAATTTCAGTCTAACTATATAATTCCTTTATCAATATAAACAATATAAAAGCCTCAGAAAAGCTGTACAAACTGTACAAATAAATTAATGTTAATGTTCACCTTTTAAACATTGGGATACGTTGGCTCAAACTTTTATTGTGCTTCATCTTCTGACTCTCACTTGGGGTAGGACCTCCTCCCTGACCCGGAGAGGGCACTCTACCCTTTTCCGGCTCAAGACCATGGCCTCGGATTTGGAGGAAATGATCTTCATCCCAGCCGCATCACATTCGGCTGCGAACCACTCCAGCGAAAGCTGTAGATCATGATCTGATGAAGCCAATAAGACCACATCATCTGCAAAAAGCAGAGACGCAATCCTAAGGCCACCAAAACGGTTCCCCTCAACACCTTGGCTGCGCCTAGAAATTCTGTCCATAAAAGTTATGAACAGAATCGGTGACAAAGGGCAACCTTGGCGGAGTCCAACTCTCACTGGAAACAAGCCCGACTTACTGCCGGCGATGCGGACCAGGCTCTGACACCGGTCATACAGGGACCTAACAGCCCGTATCAAAGGGCTCGGTACCCCATACTCCCAGAGTACCCCCCACAGGGTCCCCCGAGGGACGCGGTCGAATGCCTTCTCCAAGTCCACAAAGCACATGTAGACTGGTTAGGCAAACTCCCACGCACCCTCCAGGACCCTGCTGAGTGTGTAGAGCTGGTCCAGTGTTCCACGGCCAGGATGAAAACCACACTGCTCCTCCTGAATCCGAGGTTCGACTATCCAACGGACCCTCCTCTCCAGAACCCCCGAATAGACCTTACCAGGGAGGCTTAAGAGCGTGATTCCCCTGTAGTTGGAACACACTCTACGGTCCACCTTTTTGAATAGGGGTACCACCACCCTGGTCTGCCAATCCAGGGGAACTTCCCCCTATGTCCACGCAATATTGCAGAGTCGTGTAAGCCAACACAACCCTACAACATCCAGAGCCTTAAGGAAGTCTGGGCGAATCTCATCCACCCCTGGGGCCCTTCCACCGAGGAGCTTTTTAACCACCTCGGTGACCTCAACACCAGAGATTGGAGGGCCCGACCCATAGTCCCCAGGCTCCGCTTCTTCAGTGGAAGATGTACCGGTGGGATTGAGGAGGTCTTCAAATTATTCCGCCCACTGACCCACAACATCACGAGTTGAGGTCAGCAGCACACCACCCCCACTATAAACAGTGTTGGTGGCGTACAGCTTTCCCCCCCTGAGATGCCGGATGGTGGACCAGAATCGCCTCGAAGCCGTGCGGAAGTCATTCTCCATGGCCTCTCCGAACTCCTCCCATGTCCGAGTTTTTGCCTCAGTGACAACCCGAGCCGCATGTCGCTTAAACAACCGGTACCCATCAGCTGCTTCCGGGATCCCACAGGCCAAAAAGGCCCGATAGGACTCCTTCTTCAGCCTGACAGCAACCCTCACCGACGGTGTCCACCATCGGGTTCGAGGGTTGCCGCCGCGACAGGCACCGACAACCTTGCGGCTGCCTCAACAATAGAGGCACGAAACATGGTCCACTCAGACTCAATGTTCCCCACCTCCCTCGGAACATGTTCGAAGTTCTCCCGGAGGTGGGAGTTAAAAACTCCATCTCACAGGAGACTTTGCCAGACGTTCCCAACAAACCCTCACAATACGTTTGGGTCTGCCAGGTCTGACCGGCATCCTCCCCCACCATCGGAGCCAACTCGCCACCATGTAGTGATCAGTGGACAGCTCCGCCCCTCTCTTCACCCGAGTGTCCAAGACATGTGGCCGCAGATCAGATGAGACGATGACAAAGTCGATCATCAAATTGCGGCCTAGGGTGTCCTGGTGCCAAGAGCACATATGGACACCCTTATGCTTGAACAAGGTGTTCGTTATTGACAATCCATGACGAGCACAGAAGTCCAACAACAGAACACCACTCTGGTTCAGATCAGGGTGGCTGTTCCTCCCAACCACACCCCTCTAGGTCTCACTGTCATTGCCCACATGAGCATTGAAGTCCCCCAGCAGAATAAGGGAGTCCCCAGGAGGTTCACTTTTCAGTATCCCCTCCAAGGACTCCAGAAAGGGTGGATAATCTGAACTGCCGTTTGGTGCATAAGCACAAACGACAGTCAGAACCTGTCCCCCCACACGTAGGCGGAGGGAGGCCACCCTCTCATTCACCAGGGTGAACCCCAACACATAGGCACGAAGTTGGGGGGCAATAAGTATGCCCATTCCTGCTATGCGGCTCTCACCAGGGGCAACTCCAGAGTGGAAGAGTGTCCAGCCCCTCTCGATGAAACTGGTTCCAGAGCCAGAGCCATGCGTAGAGGTGAGTCCGACTATTTCTAGCCGGAACCTCTCAGCCTCACACACCAGCTCAGGCTCCTTCCCCACCAGTGAGGTGACATTCCACGTCCCAATAGCCAGCTTCTGTAGCCAAGGATCAGACCGCCAGGGTCCCCGCCCTCGGCCACCACCCACCTCATCTAGAGCGTTGAACATAAACATCTGCATCAGACATCATGGCTATTGATTTTTACAAGCTGTGCCTGTAAAAAATATCTCAAGTACAGGTGCCAGTAGTTCGATGTGTGGTAAGATGCCCCCCCCCCCCCCCCCCCCCCCCCCACACACACTTGAGCACCTGCCCCCCAAAATGTCTGTGCACGCCGCTGTATATAATAACCTCACCTAGGGCAACAACACTACCAGTTTGATCAAGAAAGCAACTCCCTCAGGTGGTTGGACTGGGAAGCTCAGTCCTCACCTCCTTTTACAGGTGTGCAGTGGAGAGCATCCTGTGCTCCAGCATCAACGTGTGGCATGGAGGCTGCACAGCTGCAGAAAGAAAAGCTTTGCAGAGAGTGGTGAAGGTTGCACAGAAGACTGTTGGGAGTCAGCCTCCACACCATCACAGACATCTACACCTCCAG